GATTCAACACATTTTTTTCTTCATACTGAAGATCTGGTGGAGTAGGTTTAGGATACCAGTTCTTTGTGGAGCTGGTAGGGACTCTAACCAATGCATTGATTTTAGAATCAGGTTGGGTCATACTGTGATCCCTAAACTGACTTTCTAAGTTCTCTATTTCAGAGTCAGAATCATGGGTGTCTTCTGGACTATCAGATTCTGGATTAGACTCTGAACTTTCTTCAGTTTGGTTGATGACTGTATCTGGGAAGTACTAGTGGATTCTTTCCTGGATAAGAGTGCATCAATCTGTTGAATTAGGTTTTTATCTTTTAAACCTAAATTCTTTCTCTCTTCTGGTAGACGGACTATTGGTCTTTCTACGGAAGAAGGTTTAATTTCATCTATTTTAGTTTCAATTTTATCCAACTGTTTACCTATAGTGATTAGGCTCTGGTTGGTGAAATTGACCTGTTCAACTATCTTCTTTTCAGATTCTAAAACTGGAATCTTAAAGGGAGTAGCAGTAACAGTTTTGTTAGCATATTTAAATTCAATAGTTTCTACTGGTGGATGACTAGAGGTTACCACGGCAGATTCTGTTTTCCAATTTTGCTGAGTACTACTTTTACTTCTTTGTGGAAGTTACTTAAGTAGTTTTCAAAAGCAATTTCGGATTCTAATTTATACATTAATTTAACCCATTCTTTTTTAATGGTTTCCTGGGTTTTACAAGGTAAAGATTCAAAAGCTTTCCTAAGAGGTCTGTTCTCAGGGGTTTTGAAATCCTTTTTTAACTTGTAAACATCAGGCATAAAAAATTCTTTTTCCCTATTGATAGTGTATAATTGATGGGCTTTGCTTGAGGCTTCATTTCCATCAAAGGCACTAGCAGTGGGTGACAGAGAGGGTGATGGAGTAAAAGCATCATTCTCTGTTTGTTTGAACTCTGAGTATCTAGACTTTAATGGGACACTTATGGGAGTGTACACTGGTCTAGCTACTGGGTCTGAGAAATTAGCGATTCCTTTCAACCTATGGTCAAGTTCTTTGGCAATCTCTCTGTCTCTATGGGAAACAGATGAGAAATCAGATTTTCTTCCTTCAGAAAATTGATCTTGCCTGGGAGTGAATCTATAAGATCTAGTGGATCTGGCAGTATCAAATGATATTTTTACTGATCCGTCAGGGAGCTGTTTGATAGTCTCCAGATCAGTTGTTGTTGACTCGGCACTAGATTCCTTGTCAAAATTCTCATTCTGTACAGTCCATGACTCTGGTAAAGTCACATCTTTCCAAAGTAGCTGCTTTGGAACCTGGATGTTAGCCTGTGCAGAACTAGATTGTATTAACATAGTACTTCCTTTAGGACTTGGGTCAAGGCATTGTACATTTAAATTGGTACGAATACACTTGTAATAAATCCTGTAAATAAGTACTAAGGAACTAGTATTTTGTACTAACCTGGTAATATCGCCTGTGAGACGGATACCAAGAGTTAGTGCCATGTGGGTATTAGGACAATGGAGGTCAAGGGTAAAGTCTGGGAAGCAGTTAAAGTAGACTGGACCTCGGTGGAGTCCTGTCTCCATGATTCCCAAGACACTTGGTTCCCAATCAAGAAACCTCGCATCTCTTAGTGCTAATAAGGCAGCAGCATTTCTGCCTTGGGTAATAAGAGGCTTAATGGCCACTTGGACAAGACCTATGTGGATAAAATTATATCCTTTAGCCTTGTGAATTTTAAGAGTCTCCTTACTGAGGAGCTCGCAAAACTCATCTTCTTTTCTGAGAGGATGAACCTGTTCAACAGTTTTTACTTGGTGTTCTTCACTAAAGGTTTTCTGAACCCAAGTTGTGCTATAAATATTTTTTTCTTTAACTGGAGGAATATTCCATTTCTTCCAGTCTGTTCTAGTTTCTTCTATTTCTAATTCTTCCTCATTTACTCTATGTGGCATAGAATAATCTGAAGATCTAGATGTACTAGCCCTAGAATTAGATCTGAATAATCTACTCATTTTAAAATCTAAATTGTTATCAAATTTTAAATTAATCTGTAAGTTTGACGACACTAGACATACCCCCTAATCTAACTCCAGGTTCTCTCAACTTCTCGCCTGCGATCCACTCTTTGCCTCACACGGGACTTACGGTCGGGATAAGTGCGGCTTACGTACTCTTGATAGTCTGGATTAAGATTGGGTGCTAGGGTGCGAATCTACTTACAAATGAATTCAAAATAAGAATACAATAACTAAGATTCAAGGGTTACTGTCCACTGGTTATAGTCCTTTGATTCATTGAATCAAAAAGTACACAAGTTAACATGCTTAATCTTTACCATACACGTTTTTTATCATATAATATAGATACACAATTTCTCATTAGATCAGTAAACAAATAAATAAATAAAAACTCCTATTTTTAGGCCAAACGACATAGTAGAAGAATTTGCTTTGATACCAAATGTTAGACCTAAATGAAAAATTACATATCGCAACGTAATAGAATACTTACCTTCTGCCATGTCGTTCAAACCTTGTAACCTTAAATTCCGAATCACGAGCCTTGTTAATCAAACACTCACAAGAAAAATTAAGCACTCTTACTAATACTTTATGGAGGTGTGGGAAAAAGGTTTTCAACTCGGCCTACATTCAGAATAAACTGTATCTTATGACATTCATAGTATTTTATTTATAGGCAAGTCAGGGGCCCCAATCCTTATCATTTAAATAGATTGACTTTATCAGGTTCCTTCCATCAAAGACTTTGAAACTAATCTGATAACTACAACTAATCAGATAAACACAATCTTATAATTGGTAGATTGACATAATCACAATTACCAGATTTTGACTCAAAATTATCTATATAATATATAAATATAATATTATCATAAAAGCAAATGTATGTGGGCCTCATCAAGTCTATTTGTATAATTTCTATTTATCTTTGTATATTACATATCTGATCTATTTGTATTAGATCCAAACATAAGGCATTTTTTCACTTTGCATTTTTTTTTATAGATCTGGATTCTGATAACTCCATTTTTATTTTTGCATTGGCTCTCCATTCTTGCTTCGGATCTAGTTATTGGTTGATTTTTTGAGTTATCTTCGAATATTGAGCATCATCATCAGCTGCCACTAGAGTTGAAGACTGGGAGTCCGATTGGGGGAAAGACATGGCGGGGACAGGTGGTGGGGCAGAGATCAGAATTTATCCATAGGGCGGAGATGGTGATTAAAACTTTAGCCGTTAACGTGGGTGAATTAGGAATGTACAAATATTTTTTAAGCAGATACGGGAGCGGAGACTACTCTCACCGCCCCCGCCCCGATCAACAACCTTTCTTACCGGTGGGCCAAAGAGGCCTGACTTATTGCTTACCCCTACGCATTGAGTTAGAGCCTGAGAGAGTTTTTTCTCATAATCTACTACAAATAAAAATTTTAGTGGCTATCTTATAACCTTTTGATGTATTGGAGATCAATCCTATGAGAGATTGAAAATAGGAGAGATTGGACTTTCCATTCTCAGAAGAAGAAAAATGTTTACCTCATTCTTATTTGGTAGGAATGATGAAAAAGTAAGATAGATAAATTATTTATTGTTTTATTTGGAATGAAAAAGAAAATAAAAAAATAGATGATATGTTAAATACCATAAATGCCTTAAGAAATGTGGATCTCACTTTTTTTTCTTTGTCTGTTTAATGAAGTAAAGAAAGGTAGAACCTATGTGTTTTTGTTTTTTCAAAAGAGTTAAAGTAGCAGCCACTTTGAGGGAACAAAAGTGATTCAACAAATGCAATTATGATATCCACCTTCTCTTTCCACTTTTCCTCTTGGATTTGCGCAGATTAAATTTGGTGGGTGCGAGGGGGTACACTTTCCCTCTTTTTTTTCTTTACTCTCTGTTATCCTTTTTCGACCAATCAAAAGAAAACATCATTTTGCCTCCTATTTTCCATCTACCCATTTTCCTTTACACCAAACACGCTATAGATTTTAGTAACGAACCCAAAAGCCCTAAAATTTTATAACTGACTTTTAATTAGTGTAACTTGACCCAAATATTGTACTTGTTTCTAGAATCTATCCTAAAATATAAGGATCGGTCCTATTTGCTTTTATTATTAACTACAACAATTTTGATTTACAAATTACTAAACTTCGTTATTATAACTCCTTTGTGTTAAATTACCATCTACTTTAAAAGTCTGAAGAGTTATAAAAAATGTAAATAAAATAATTTATATTTGAACAATGTTATTGGAACTTAATTTACTGATATAATTTGTTGACCTAATTTACTGTGACCTTTGAATTGACTGTAGACTCCATCAAACATTGGAACTTGATATTAATTTAATAATTCATATGAAGTCACATTATTGTGTCAATAAATTAGGTCAAATTTTTAAAAGTAATAACATTACTTTTTATATTTTAACACGCTTTCTCACAGCATGCTAGATAGTGAAAATCTTATCATAATTATTTTAGACCTAAACGAAAAATTACATATTGCAGCGGAATAAAATACTTACCTTCCGTCATGTCGTTCAAACCTTATAACCTTAAATTCTAAATCACGAGCCTTGTTGATCAAACACTTACAAGAAAAAGTAAGCACTTTCACTAATACTTAAGAATACACTGTATATCTGATGACATTTATATGTCTTTATTTATAGGTAAGTCAGGGATCCCAATCTTTATTATTTAGATAAATTGATTTTATTAGGTTTTTTTTATCAAAGTCTCTTAAACTAATATAATAATCACAATTACCAGATTTTAACTCAAAATTATTTGTATAATTTATTAATATAATATTATCATAAAAGTAAATATAGTATGTGGGCCACCTCAAGTCGCTAATGGACACGTGCCAACAAATTGTGGTGCGGCAACAAATGGACCACAATGCCTTTTCCTTCTCTCCTTTTCTTCTATGAAAGATGATATATACAGCCAAGTTAATCATATCCCATTGGCTCTCGTATGTCTCTAGTCAATATGTTCAGCGTTAAAGGACTCGTAGAAAAAGGTTCGCTAACATCCATTCCATCCAAGTTTGTAATGGCCTCCGTCCCCAAACAAGACATTCTTTCAGAAGTTGAAGTAATCCCCACCATTGATTTCTCCCAACTGACATCTGGTACTCCTGATCAGCGGTCCAAAGTCATCCATGATATTGGAAGTGCATGCCGTGAATGGGGATTCTTTATGGTAAAATATTTCTTTCTGAAATCTATGCGGTCTTTTGTTTTCTTTTTATATAAGCTCGAGAAATCGTGTAAATCAAACATCTTTAAGATGTGCAGTTTTACGATTCGCTCTTTGTTTGACCCCTAAACTAATCTGTGGGAGTAGTTCATATAGTTTTGTTTGCTAGCAGATAGAAAGTGGGAGAATATGGACTTCAGCCTAGGTTGAAAAACTAGCCCCAAATCTCTACCTTGTTCCAAACAATTTCTTTCCCATCTAATAACAGTTTCTGTGTCTTTGTGCGCGTGTGTATGTGAGTGAGGAGTCACACAGAGAGAGAGAGAGAGAGAGAGAGAGAGAGAGAGAGAGAGATTTGAAGTCAAAAGTGTAGGAAATTGACTGCTGCACAAGCTGAAAATTGTCATAACAACCAAACACCAACATTTTTTCAGTGTTTTTTTTCGACATCGCTAATCCCTAAACCCTAAATTTGACGGTATTGCCCTGTATATATGAGCCTCAAGGCGTAATTCTCTAAATTTGACAATATAATTGGTGGTGTTTTAGAAAACATTTTGGTTTTTCCATTCGTTTTCTGTTTCTATATAGTCTTCTGAGCTTGACATGCAGTTCTCATCTTTTAGGTAATCAACCATAGTGTCCCGAAAAAGGTGATGGATGATATGCTGAAAGCAACTGAGAGTTTTTTCGACTTAGCAGAAGATGAGAAGGGAGAGTACAGAAACAAACAACTGTTTGATCCAATAAGGTATGGAACAGGCTTTAATGTCTCAATGGAAAAAGCCTTCTGGAGGGATTATCTGAAGGTGCATGTTCACCCCCATTTCAATGCCCCGCATAAGCCCCACGAGTTCAGGTACGTACGTCACAATGAAATTCTTCATCTGAAAATGCCTTTTATTACCTAACGAAGGCTGTTAATGAGTGGTGTTGTGATTATAAAATGTTTACATCATGCTGAATTAAAATTGATTTATTAAACATATACCCGACCCATTAATTATAGTTGAGTTCATGTCGTGTCCTATATCAACTGTGTTTAGTCAGATTCTCGTCATGTTTAGTTGAATTTTATGGACCCATTTATTTATTTATTTTTTTGGAAACAACTCATTTATTTGAAGGGTCTAAAATCATCAATTTCCCACTGAAACCCACTAATGTTGTATTAATCCAAACTCGCTAACTTCATGCGAGCTCAAAAATCTTCAATAGATTTGTCTGCCCTAATTAATTATAGCAGCCAGTTAAGTCGTTTACGAAAGAATATTAGTGATCTAAACATGATCAAATATAGCATTACGATTAGTGGTCTTAAAGTTTAAGAATTCTCAACTCTATTTATGTTTCATTGTTGTAGAGAGATTTCACAAGAATACTGCAAAAGAGCTAGAGAGGTGGCCAGTGAACTGTTTAGAGCAATATCCATAAGCTTGGGATTAGAAGGAAACTACATAAACAAGGCAATGGAGATTGGTGAGGGATCACAGCTTCTTGTTGTTAATCTTTACCCACCATGCCCAAAGCCAGAAATCGCAATTGGCCTCCCACCTCATTCAGACCATGGCCTATTGACCCTTCTCATACAGAATGAGGTCAGTGGCCTTCAAGTAGTGCACAAAGGGAAATGGGTGACAATCAGCCCCCTGCCTAACTCCATCCTTGTGAACACTGGAGATCATATGGAGGTAAATTCTAAAGTTGATATCTTAAAAATTGTGTAATAAAATGCCATTCTTTTTTTTTTTTCCTTTACATGGCCATGGGAAAAATAGTCAGAGATAAGAGTATTGTATGGTAATGGTACTATATAGTATTGGTACTTCAAGTATGTGTTTTGCAAAACTTGAATAGTATTCATTTTTTCAATTGTTTCATTTTAATCCTCTGAGTATCACTTTGGTTCAATATTCAATATAACATATATCATGATGCAGATTCTAACAAACGGCAGGTACAAAAGCGTCGTACACCAAGCTGTGGTGAACAACAAAGCCACCAGGCTATCCATCGGCACCGCTCACGGACCAACTCTTGACAAAACTGTACGTCCTGCGCCTGAGCTGGTGGATGGTGAAAGCTTCCCACCAGCGTACCGTGGGATTACATACCGGGAGTACATGGAGGTTCAGCAGAGCAATGAACTTAAGGGAAAATCGTGCCTGGATCGAATTCGAATTTGAATTTTATATACTGATTGGCATTTGTTCTCAATTATAATTGTGCTATTATAATTTGTGTTAAAGTTTTCGAAAAGAGTAATGTTATATCAACTTAAAAAATAGACTTAATAATCTCAACTATTGAATAAGTAGTGGGTCCCAATAAATGCTGGAATCCACAATAAAATCAATGGTTGAAATTATCAAATCTAATTTTTAAGTTCATATAGTATTACTGTTTCGAAAATTAATGTAGTTCAAAAAGATTCTGTTTGATTCTAGCAGTAAAGACTTCTAAGGGCTGTTTGACAAGGGAATATGGGGACTTGACAAAATGAATTTGGGAAAAATAGTTAAAAGGAGCCCCAAATTTCGTGTTTGTATTAAAAATTTAATCCTAGGTTCCCAAACCCGTCCCGCCATTGTTTAGAATATTAAAATTATGATCATGAGTTTCGTCAAATCTAGGGAGAGGGTGCGTTTGAGAAGATGAGTTAAAGGGTTAATGATATAAAAGACAATTGTACTCTTTAACATGAGTATGAATTAAATTGATCAAGGGTAAAATAGTTATTTATAAGACAAATAATTGTTAATAATAATAATATATATGTGGATCTTACATGTGTATGTATTACATATCAAATATGAGTATAAATGAGATTCAATTTTTAATCTCATTTTTATAAATAAGAGTTTGGGTTTGCAAGGATAGGGGAAACCAATTCAAATCCTCTTAAAAAATCCATCCAAACAAGCACTATGTGATAGGATTTGAAAAAAAACATAAAATAAATTAACACAAAACAATTGAGTCATTTTTTATTTTAATATCAATCAAGATTGAATTTATACCACACATTGCGTGGGATTAGTTTGAAATATGTGTTGTATTATCTGCCCGGTTTAAAAACTTACAAAAATTAGACTACATAATATGTTTAAAACATGATACTAAAGGACTGTTGGACTAATTACGTCAAATCCCACCTTAATATAACCGCATCGAACTTGATCATAAAAACACTTAATTAGAATAGTAAATGACATTTTGTCGCACCTATGGCATAGATCATAATGGAAGTGCTTAGGTTAGGTTTGCGGACGATTCCACTGACCAATCCTTCCCTCTTAGCCGCATAGTCCCCTAAACCAAACATGACCCAACTTCTTTAGGCATCTACTTGGGCTCCTGTGCATGTGTGGTCCACCATTCTAAGATCACGGTGTCATGCCCTTACAAAGCAATACTACTCATGGCCAAGTAAGTTTTTTGTTTTCAACCAAATATAGGACGAGGTAGATGGGAAAAAGTTTGTGATGATTAGACTCGAGGAACATGTAACCCTTAAAGAATACTAAACAAGAATATTTGACAGTTGGACTTATTTAATGTGAATGACGATTTCAAGCAGGGTAGACCCACTTTAATGGGTACTAAACAAGGAACATTTGACACCTGGACTTATTTAATGTGAATGACGATCCCAAGTACCTTAGGCCCTCTTTAAAGGACACTAAACAAGAGACATTTGATAACTGGACTTATTTAATGCAAATGACGATCCCAAGCACCTTAGGCACTCTTTCAAGGGTACTAAACAAGAGACATTTGAGAGCTGGACTTATTTAATGTGAATGACGATCCCAACCACCAAGGACATTTGACAGTTGGACTTATTTAATGTGAATGACGATCCCAACCACCAAGGACATTTGACAATTGGACTTATTTAATGTGAATGACGATCCCAACCACCTTAGGCCCTCTTTCAAGGGTATTAAACAAAGAACATTTGACACTTGGACTTATTTAATGTGAATGACGATCCCAACCACCTTAGGCCCTCTTTAAAGGGTACTAAACGAGGGACATTTGACAGCTGGACTTATTAATGTGAATGACAATCCCAAGCACCTTAGGCCCACATTAAAAGGTACTAAACAAGGGCCATTTGACAACTAGTCTTATTTAATGTGAATGACTATCACAAACACCTTAGTCCCACATTAAAGGGTACTTAAACAAGGGACATTTGACAGCTGAACTTATTTAATGTGAATGACGATCCCTAGCACCTTAGGCCCTCTTTAAGGGGTAGTAAACAAGGCACATTTGACGGTTGAACTTATTTAATGTGAATGACGATCCCAAGCACCTTAGGTCCTCTTTAAGGGGTACTAAACAAGGGACATTTGATGGCCGGACTTATTTAATGTGAATGACGATCCCAAGCACCTTAGGCTCTCTTTAAAGGGTACTAAACAACGGACATTTCACAACTAGACTTATTTAGTGTGAATGACGATCCCAAGCACATTAGGCCCTCTTTAAAGGGTACTAAACAAGGATATTTGACAGTTGGACTTGTTTAATGTGAATGACGATCCCAAGCACCTTAGTCCCTCCACTAGTATCAAAGATCAGTGATGTCGTCAACATCTAATTAATAATAGGGAAATTTGGAAACCGCTCCCCCTATATAGACTTGTTTGGACTTAACTCTGACAAGAAAATTTATTTGTTATTAAGTTCGTTTTTTGTCAATTTTACTAAACTATCTATTTCCTTTAGAAGTCAAGTAAAACTAAAAATTTTAAAAACTCTTAAATTTTAGAAGTTTGACTAACATTACAAATTTTTCTTTCTCATATCTATCTATATCCATATATAGGTTAGGATATATAATAGTAACATGTTTAAAAAAATAACAATAATAACATGTTCAACAAAAATAGTAACATATTCAACAAAAATAGTAATATGTTTAACAAAAATAGTAACATGCTTAACAAAAACAGTAACATGCTTAACAAAAAAAAATAATATGGAACATTGAACAAAATTGAAAATAAAAATAATAGCATTTAAACCTATAACTAGAGGAAGAAGTCTCAAATTCTTTAACATCCAAAAAAGTAACACTGAAAACGTAATAACATTTTCAATAAAAAATAGTAACATGAAAACAAAATAGTGATATGTGTTAGTAAATTACATTTTGAAATTGATGTTATTGAACTGATGCTACTATACTTACATCAAGTACTTGGCGTGCACTGTCCATGTTACTTTTTCAAAATCTCGAACTCGTACTCCATTTTCAACCTTTATCCCTTTCAAATTAGCCTCAAATTTTGAAAGCCGATTATTTAAATGTATAATAGACAAAATAAAAACTAAAAATTTAAATTTGAAGTATTATGGAAAGCTTGTAATTGACAATTAAAATCGTAAATCAAACATTCATATAATCAATCATGGACCTCTATATATAGCTTCTGGTAGATAATGTCTTCAACTTTTTATAACTGACCAAATTAACATTAAAAATATTTTTAAAATCAAAAAACAAAAAAATGGACTTAATTTTTTACTAATAAGATTAAAAACAGACTTACCCCTAAATAAATTCTTAATGGACTCAAATCTTTATAAACCCATCCAAGAGGATTCGGCCACAATTTTCACTTAACAGTATAAGAGACTTGTTCCTCCCTCCTCTCTCTCTGTCAAGAGAACCTCCATATGAAATGATTCTACAGGAACCCAAGCCACATTTCAATCATTTTAATTCTCTTGCAACTTGCAAAATTCCAAATTATCCAGCCTGGTATTGGAATATCCATTTTGATTTTCCTGTCAATTAGGCTAAGTATGAGGTAATGGGAAAATTATTCTCTGTGTTGACAAAAGCCAATCTTATCAACCGTACCCACCACCAATAGACTAAAAATAAATGGTCCTTTTTCTCATCTTCTTCATCCATTCAACAACACGATACACAGAGAGCCTCCAGTATGGTGCCAATATTGATGAATAGTCGTAGTGTAGTGATAAGATTATTTTATTATGTTATGTACATCAAAGATTTGAATCACAAAAATAATTTTCACTGATGCTAAAATAAAATAACGTACATTTAATTCTCCTATATCCGGCAGTGGTAGAAACTTCACTCATTGAGCCGCCTTTCTTTTATGGAAGAAAACCACAAGAATGATATTATCCACGCCTAATTTTCTGACTAAATTATTGATTTAGTGTATGATTTTTTTTTTTTTTTTGAATTAACCATGGATTCCAGAATTTCACTTTTGATGTAACAAATTGAGTTTATTAGTCCTTAAAAATAAATGGGCCTATTTGGTTTGGTTTTTGAAAATAATTTTTTGATCTCAAAATTCTAAAAAACAAGAAAAAGCAATTTGGTTTGAGTTTTGGTTCTCCAATTTTTGGAAAACGAGGGATGAAAAGAACAAAAAATATAAAACAAGCTTGTTTTTTGGTGTTTTGGAGATAAAAGAAGGAAACACGGAGAATACCCCAACTCATTAATGAGGTCTTCCCTTCGAACCTTCTTAACAACAAAAGATATCCTACTATAAAAAGTTTTTTTTTTCCATTTGACAGAGTTGTTTTTGCCTTTCTTTTTTTTTTTGCCCCTTTCTCTCTCCACTTTGGCAAATTGGATGAAGAACACACACCAGATTTCAGATCTGGGTTTTCTCCGATGTTGGCTCCAAGGTCGGTTCCAGCATCAGTGTTCTCTGTCTCTCCAACATCGGTGTTTAGTGATTTTCTTTGGTTAGGTTTCCTTCAGATCTGGGTTGATCTTCAAATCTCGGTTCAAATCTATGTTGATTTTCTTTAGATCTAGGCTGATTTTCTTCAGATTTGGGTTGAATACTAGATTTATCTTCTTCTTTTTTACTAGGTATAGATTTGACTCTCTATTACTTTGTTTTTTTTTTCCTACCAAATGTGTTGATTGTGGGGGGTGACTATTTTTTATTCCTGGTAGTAGATCTTGGGGTTCAAATTTATGTTGATCTTTTTTTGTTCTATTTTTTTTTATTTTTTTTTTGTCCATTTTCAATTTATTGGTGTTTGATTTATTGATTTTATATATAAATTGATTTATGGCACAATTTGTTTTTTTTAAAAAAAATTTATTGGTGTTTGATTTATTTATTTTATATATAAATTGATATTGAATATATTATAAAGTGATATTGAAAGTTTAAATATAAATTGGTTTATTTTAAAGTTTGGTTTATTGAATTTTTTTTTATGAAACTGTCTATTTAAAAATTACTTTCTCATATTTTTTTAATTAATTTTTGAATTATTGTCCAAATATATATCTAGACTGTCCAAACATATTTTAATATTTTCTGTTATGTAAAATTATTTTTAGAATCATTTAATCAAACAAGTTCTTTGTCTCAGAAAACATCAAAACACACTTTTTTAAAATTCTTCTCAAAAACAGTTTTCAGATAATATTTTTTTTTGAAATACAAACTAAATAGTCCCAATGTATTTTTCAATTCTCTTCTCATTCGTGTTCCCTCATCCCCTCCCCCCCCCCCCCCCCCCCGGGAGGGTATCTTTAATATTTTTAAGGACATA